TTAGGGACTGCCCGTGGCTCTTCCTCTCACTAGGGTGACCTTACTCCACCAAGCTCCTTGAAGATGCTTTCTCTTCCTTTAGGTTTTACCTTAAGATCACTTCTTCTCGGGGCCAGCAGATGCGATAGCAGTTACATCGCTGAGCTCCCACATGGCCAACTAGAGTTCAAGTCCTAGACCTGGTAGCTTCAGACTCACGCTGGGTGCATGTGTGTGTGTGTGCCCAAAATCCCAGGAGGGAAATGGAGAAGAAGGGATTGCAGCATGGCCATCTCCCTTTGGAGGGTGATTTCTCACTTTCCCGCTCACTGTCTCTGTCTCTGTCTCTCTGGCGAGCACCCATGCCCTATGACAAAAACCTCTAAAAGAAAAAAAAAATCACTTCTTCTCAAGGCCAGCAAGTGCATAGTGGTTAAGTTGTTGGACTCCCACATAGCCAACTGTGGTTCAAGTCCTGGACCTAGTGGCTTGAGAATCATGGTGTGTGTGTGTGTGTGTGTGTGTTTGTGTGTGTGTTTGTGTGTGTGTGTGTGTGTGTGTGTACCAGCCCAAAGTCCCAAGAGAATGGATGAGAAGGGATTGTAGCAAAGCCATCCCCTCAGGAGACAGTGGGGAGGTGATTTCTCACTTCCTCTCTCTCTGTCTCTCTCTTACTCTTTGGTGGGTGCATGCACCCTGTAACAAAAATCTCTCTAAACAAACAAACGAAAAAGAACACTGTCTCTCTCCTGCATAGTTAGAAATGTTTTCCCTCTAGGCACACGACCTCTTTTTAGCATTTTCTCCATAAAACTGTACTTATCTCCCACCTGTAATTAGCTCCTCGAGTGCAGCAAATGCATCTTATACCACCCTTATTATCTAATACGATGCCTGGCCCACGGAGACTGGAGAAATCCCTGAGAAATGGATGAACGAGCAAATGAACAAATGAAATGAATATTTCAACGTAAGAGTAGTTACCTCTAAGGACATACAAGGTCCCAAGCTTAAATGAAATCTTAGAGAAATAATTTTAGTAAAAGTCAGCAATGCCTGATCCAGGCAGGATTTCCTATTTTAAGTCGCACGTGGTGCGTAAGCCATGAATCACGTGACATCCCAGGACCTCTTGATCAGACATGTTTGTATTTCAGAGTGAGATGTTGGAATTTTCATATGAAGTAGGATGAAGTTTACGAATTGCCTCTTATCAGCTCAGGTCAAGTTTTGCTGCCAAAAGAAGTTGCTGCAAAGTTGGGGAAAATTTAGATTAGCTACCGTGACTAAGAGACTGAGTTTATGTAAATCACACTTCACTCCACCCTGTATGAGCAGCCTACCCGCTCACGTCGACAACGTGTGGCTTTGGTTATTCACTTCGAGCCTTTACAGTGAGCAAACAGGCCTAGTCACGTGGCACACCCTGCTGGGATGCTGTGGTCTCAGGACTCGGCGAGGCCGAGGCAAGACCCTGTCTAAAACAGAGTCGGGGGGTCGTGTAGTGACTAAGGCGCTGGACTCCCACGTGGTCAACCACAGTTAGAGACTTGGATCCAGTGCCTTGAAACTCACGCTAGGCACATGTGCATGCATGCCCAAAATCCTGAGAGAACGGAGGAGAAGGGATTGCAGCGTGACCCTCCCCCCAGGGGATGGTTTCTCCCTTTCTGTCTCTCTGGCTCTCTGGTAAGTGCATATGCCATATAAAAAAAAAAAAAACTCTCTCAAAAAAACCAGAGTTGGGGATGATGACACATCCGTCATCCAGAGGGGAGGCTGACATAGGAGGATGGCTGGGCTCTGTCTCAATAAAGTTAATCAAGTTCAAGACAACTAAATTCAAGAACAGACGGAGGCCAATGAGCGAGCTTTCACCTCCGACAGCCAAGCTGCCGTCCCCTCCTTCAGAGGCAAACTCACCCCTGGCAGAGGGCCGACTGGGTGAGGCCTCCGCCCAGCACCTGTCCTCGGACTGAAATGGGACTGGGTGCTTGCCCTACACCCTCTCCCTTTCTCCACTAGAATAAAACAGCTGTGTCAGAGGTCGGATACATACGTGGGGAAAACGCTAGTCTTGCTGGAGGTAGGATCTTCAAAGCCTTTTCCAAATTTTTATTAACGGTCATAACTTGTGTTAATGATTATGTGTCATTTGGTTCAAGCTTTTTCAACATGTCTGGACAGAAGATCAAAGTGGAGGAAAAACCGTCCTAACTCAGAGCAGATAAGGGCTGGGATGTATCTAGAAACCCTAAAATGTGGGGATGGGATTTGTTTATTCATTTGCTAGAGGGCATGTGTACTCACCAGAGAGAGACCAGAGAGAGGCAGAGAGAGGGGGAGAGGAGAAAGCTCCCACCCCATGGGGTTGGCCATGCCGCCATCCCTCCTCCTCCATCCCTCCTTCCTCCCAGGGTTCTGGGCACCAAGCACAGGCCCCCCATGTGTTTCTCAGCCCACTCAAACCGCAGGGTTGTCCGTATGGGATCCAGCTACCTGTGCCACCATGCCTTGGAGCTGACCCAGCATGGGCTCTTAAAGGAGCTCTTGTCCTCCTGCATGAGAGAATGCAGACCTACAGCCGCCCTGTGTCCCTTAGACCCCATCCCTGCCACCGAAGCCGTGGGGAAGTCAGCTTCAGGTGATAACGCGGGGAATTTGGCTTCAGCCCACAGCTGGGTTATTACTGGAACGTGGCTGGAGCCTTTCCTCAGCCTCGTTCCACTCTTTATATAAACGGAGGTGAAGGGATGTGCGGTCAGGGAGCCAAGCCTTTCTAATTCCCTGGTGACGGCTCCTCTCTGGCCTTGTTCAACACTCGCCGCCCCAATGCAAGGGGACTGTCCCCTGTCAGGCAGCAAGCGGTCGTGTGGCCCCAGACCAGGTGCCTTTCTTGTCTCGTTCAATCTCCAAGTACTCCCTGGAGCTCGTTGACTTTAGTCACATTCCACAGATTAAAACACGAGGCAAGGCTCGGGAGGGTAAGTCCTAGGATCACAGATCTATTAACAGTAGGGAGGAAGAATGGCGGTGCAGCTGGGATCCGAACTGTCGTCTCTGGAGTCCTTGTTAACCACCTCACTGTGCTAGTGCTCCCCAGCGAGAGCACGACAGTCCTTGGGCTGGGTGCAGGACGGCAGTCAGGGGCCCTGTTCTTTCAGGGCTCCAGACGTGGCAAGGACCGGCCATGAGACATCATGGTGCCACAGGTGGAGGCTCCCTTCCCACTCGCCCACCTTCCGGCCCTCACCTTCCATGCTCCTGCTGCCCCACACCCACCCTTCTCGGGGTCCTCCTCTCAGGGGCCTAGTCAGGAAACGGGCAGCTCGTGGCGAGAGGACTCAATGCAAGGAACAGTTTTAAAGTGCTCAATGGCTGGAGAGGGGCCAGCTGGTGGCATAGTGCTGAGGGCGACTGGATCCCGTGTGACCGACTATGACTCAAGTCCCTTCCCCAGAGCTTTGAAGAACACACCAGGCACACGTGCAAGTCCGGAATCCCGAGAGGAAGGGAACATGGAGGGATTGCAACAGTGCCACCTTTCCTAAGGGGTGCTTTCTGACGTTCCTCTTCTCTGTCTCTCTCCCTGTCCCTGTCTGGTGAGCAAAGGTGCCCCATAACAAAAATAAAATTTAAAATAGCTGAAGAGTAAAAGGGGTCAGTGGGGCACCCCAGCTCTGACTGCTACAGGAAGCAGCTGGCGTTCCCGGACAGACAGAGGGAGCGGAGTTCAGGAGGCCGCCGGCCTCTGGGGACCAAGGAGTAGCCAGCACCCTGTGGGCCAGTGCTGGAGATGGAAGAGGGGCCGCCCTGGGTGCTGAGCTGTCTGGGAGGGCCGCTGTGGCTGGAGTTGGGGTCAGAAGGGAGCGTCCAGAGAGAGGGAGAGCGAGGACAAGTGCTTCTGCCCTCCCCGCCCTCGGCTAGAGAACCTGGCAAGTGGATTCGCCCAATTCCCGGGGTCACAGGGCAGAATAGAGGCCCCAGGGCCATAGAAACGAGCGGCCAGACCGCCTTCAGGGTTTCCCCAGAGAGGCCTGTGGCTCACGTCGGGCGGGGTCGCCGTCCCAGACTTCTAACAGGCTTCACACCGCAGGTTCAGCTCCGCTGACGGGCTAGGAGCATTTGCCTGGAGGGTCTCAGGGTTGCCCAGACGCCTTGATTCAAGACCGTCCCGCGGGGCCAGGTGGTGGCGCGAGCGTGAGGCGTAATGCTCGGTCCACCTGGCTGGTTCCCAGTGTGCATCCAGAGCCCCCCAAGTACGCCAGGCACACGAGGCCCGCATCTGGGCTGCTGAGGCTCGGCTGCATCAGTGTCAAGACTCAGTTAGGGGTCCTGTCTGCCACCCGTGCCATAAATAAATACGGATTTTAAAGTAAAGAGACCATGTAGTAAGTCCCATAAGGGTCCTGTCCTCGTCTAAATCCGAGGCCCGTGAGAGCCTCACCCTGCCCAGGCCGCCCACTGTGACGGGCCCAAGCAGAGCAGGCTGCTGTTGAGGGGCTGGAAAGTCCTGGGCCTGGTAGGGAACCACAGGGAAACCCTCCGCCCTCGCCCTCCTGTCCTCACACCAAGGTTCTTGGTTGCCGAGGCTCGTGAACGGGCGTGGACGCTGTCGGCTGATGGCAGCTCAACGCCTCACACTTGTCTGAGTACGTGATGGAAAAGGGAAGGTTTTGAAGAAGAGCTCTCCTAACGGGATGTGTTAAAATGGCGCAAGTTGAATTTGCAGTGCGAGGTCCCTGGCTGGGCTCCGCGTGCAGGCTTCTGCTCCCTGGCTTCCGGCCTCGATGCCCAGGCCCTCTGATGTGCAGAGCGGTTATCTCACGGGAGAGGTGTTTCTGTCGGGTGGAGGACAGAGTGGCGAGCGTTGGCAGGGTCTGCCACCTTATTTCTAGGATGGCCCAATGTCACATAAGCCCAACATACCCGTGTCTCAAAGTGTACTATTTGTGTTCACAAACACCGTTTCTTTTTTTTTTAAACTCATCAGGTTGTTTGTTTTCTTCTTTCTTTTTTAGAGCTATACAAAATTCTGTGCCATTCAAAGATGCAGATTCAGACAAATACAGTGTTTTCTCAGTAAGTATTGTTGAAAATAACTAGATTTTTACTAAAGGTTGTATCAATCTCTACAAATTTCTTTCCTTTAGTAAAACAAGGTTGTGTCTCATTTGACCCTGTCATTAATCTGATGAATGATACATCAATCATTGTAGGTTCAATTTATTATTATTATTTAATTTGCCATAGAGCATATGTGTTCACCAGAGAAAGAGAGAAAGTGAGAAGTCACCCAAGAGGTTTGGCCATGCCACAATCCCTTCTCTTCCAGTCTCCTCTTGGGATTTTGCGTACACATACATGCGTCTAGTGTGATTTTCAGGTGGCTGGGTCTGGGACTCAAACTATGGTCAGTCATGTGGGAGTCCAACACCTTAACCACCACGCCACCTGCTGGCTTCCAATCATTTCATGATTTCTAAGGACTTTGAGGCATCATAATGATACATGGACCAACAGGCAAATTTTAGACCCCGACTTTTTGTTTCCATCCCCAGTTGGAATTCCTTGTGGGAACTAGAACTATCTTGAAAGATATTGTGCATTTTGAAAATTCTTCAGTCTTTTTAAAAATTTTTATTAATTATTATTATTTAATCTGACCAGAGAGAGAGAGAAAGGGTGAAAGCAAGCCACCAAGTCTGAGACTCAAACTGGTTGGCCATGTGGGAGTCCAGCAGAAATCTGTAACCCGACTTTAGCTTACTTTGTAAAAGCGTGTGTGCGTTTGATTTGAGCAGTTAGAGCGGCAAGGTGTCCTCTCTGAAAGCAGAGGAGCAGGCAGAATGTCACCCCCTGTCAGTCTGGGGCATGCTCCCGGGGAGTGGAGGACGCAAGGATGCTGCTTGGCTAATTGTGATTCTTGATTCTTTCCAATCAGTCACGTCAAACTTATAAATCCACATAATTTGTGGTTTGGCTAGAGGCTCTTAATTTTTCTTTTATGGCCAGAGGGCACTTGCACTCCCCTGAGAAAGAGGAAGGGGCAGAGAAAGCACCCCAGAATGGGGGAGAGGATGGGAGAGAAAGTACCCCAGAATGGGGGAGAGGAAGGGGGAGAGAAAGCACCCCAGAATGGGGGAGAGGAAGGGGCAGAGAAAGCACCCCAGAATGGGAGAGAGGAAGGGGGGAGAGAAAGCACCCCAGAATGGGGGAGAAGACGGGGGAGAAAGCACCCCAGAATGGGAGAGAGGAAGGGGGAGAGAAAGCACCCCAGAATGGGAGAGAGGAAGGGGGAGAGAAAGCACCCCAGAATGGGAGAGAGGAAGGGGGAGAGAAAGCACCCCAGAATGGGAGAGAGGAAGGGGGAGAGAAAGCACCCCAGAATGGGAGAGAGGAAGGGGGAGAGAAAGCACCCCAGAATGGGAGAGAGGAAGGGGGAGAGAAAGCACCCCAGAATGGGGGAGAAGAAGGGGGAGAAAGCACCCCAGAATGGGGGAGAGGAAGGGGGAGAAAGCACCCCAGAATGGGGGAGAGGAAGGGGGAGAAAGCACCCCAGAATGGGGGAGAGGAAGGGAGAGAAAGCACCCCAGAATGGGCCGTGGTCAGGCCGCACTCCTATTTCCTCCGTTTCCCCAGCCCAGTGAGATTTGGGGCATGCACACGCCCCGTGCTCAGTGTTCTTCAAGCCACTGGGGTGGGATTAGAACTGTCGTCAGCCGTGGGGGCCTGGCCCCCTCCACACAGCACTTAGTCACTCTCCTATAGGACGGCCCTGAGGCTTCCACATGATGCAGTAAAGTGACGGCTCGGGGCCAGTAGGCCGGGGTGGCTGGACCTCATGGAGCCAACTGGTCGGCTCAAGGGGCCTGGAAATCACACTGGTGCGCATGCCCGCATGCCCGAAGTCCCAAGAGAATGGAGAATGGATAGTGGCCTGGCCCTCTCACCTGACGTGGCGGCTCACTTTCCCTCTCACCCTCTTTTTCTCTCTTGGCAAGCACACATGCCTGTGGCAAAAATTAAATAAAAAAAAAAAAGAGGTAAAAAGGTTGATCATTTGGCCAAATGAACCATTGTTTCAGAGCCTGAAATGATTGGTGGTTAACAGAAGAATTTGGGGAAGTTGGATAATCCCGAGAGCATGTCTGGAAGTATACGTAGGCACACATGCACAAACATACGTGTAGTCACACACACATGTGTGCACATAAATGTGTGCAGGCACACATGCCACTGTGTGTCACGCATGCACATTCACACACACGCAGCACCACCCACTCCAGTACTGGCACAGCCCAGTGCCCAGGCACATATGCACTGTGCACGCACATACGTGTGCACGCCCCACCGTTCTGGCCCTGCTGTCACGCTACACTTCGCCTCACGTGGCAGAGCACGAGTCCTGACTGTCAGCGTCGCTGGTGCCCCTGGACGGCCTCAGTTACAACTGCAGGCGGCGACGGCACCCGCCTGGCTCCATGAGCCTCCCAGGGGACAGCCCGGCACGTGACGCCCGTGTGCCCTTCCCTTTCAGGCGCTGCGTGGCTACCACTGGCGAGGGAGAGACTGCAATGACAGCGACGCGACGGTGTACCCGGGCAGAAGGTAGCAGCCCCTGTTTGTCACTGCCTTTGAGAACTACTTCCCTCCCTGTGTGGGAGACGCCCACTTAGAGAAACGGGACCTCTTGGTCCAGCTGAGGCAGAGCTCAGCAGAAATGCTCCTTTGTCCGTCTGTCCACGGAGGGCTCTTGGGCACCACCGTCAGCCCAGCCCTGGGCATCACGCTAGTGACACAGAAAGCAGAAATACACCCCTGTGAGGCGCGAACTGTCTAGTGTGGGAAACGAGAGGAAGAGGTTATGGCGGACATGCCCCAGCCTCCTGCACGAGCTCCGCGTGCCAGACTGGGCCGGGAAGTGAGGAGGGGCTCCCGGGAGGGGAAGCACGCTGTCCCTGCTCCCGCGCTGACGTTGAACCACGTGCATCACTGAGGACGGTCGTGTCCCCTCAGCTGTGACTACAGTGCCAAGCTCTAATGTCACCAGCTGTCCGGGCATGGAGGGGCACAGCTGCAGTGGCACCCCCATCTAAGTAAAATGGAGTGCAGATCGGCTCAGTATGTTCATCCACTTCATGCCGCGATGCACCGTCAAGAGTGCAGCCAGTCGGGAAAAGACTGGATTTGGTCCAGGGTCCAGGATCCAGAAGCAGGATTACTGCAGAGGCCGAGCGGAGGCTCCCGTGTGCTCTGCCGAGTGCTCTGCAATGCTCTTCCTTGGAGAGGCCACCCTCCCCCTGTGCATTTATGTACCATTTCATTCATTCATTCATGAAACTAACAGCCACTGCAGGGCAGGTACGCGCCAACAATCACGCCGCTGTTTTCTTCTCAGGCCGGACAATTGGGACGCCCATCGGGACTCAAACTGCAACGGCATTTGGGTAAGCAACTGAACTCAAAAGTAACCCCTACTTTGTGCCCCTTCCTAAAGCCCATCACCTCGCTGCTGTAGCCAGACCCCAGAAGAAGATGGCAGCTAAGCGACTGTTTTCAGCTGCTGGAAGAGGGGCGTGGACTCCAGCTGCGCATGAAGAGTGTCAGAAACACAGTGGGAGCTGAGGCTCTATCACAGCCCTGTAACCCTTGCTTAAGGCCGCCCACATCTAGTCCCTTCATTGTGTCGTGAGCAGTGTGGAATCAAACGTGGCGTTGGCAGTCCAACCGCTGTTGGTGCACACCACACGCGGTCACAAACGTGTTGGCAATCTGGACAGCTGTTGGCATGCACCACACGCGGTCACAACCATGGCGTTGGTGGTCCAGACGCTGTTGGTGCGCACCACACGTGGTCACTGCTTTGTGACAGCCCTTGTTTTCTATCTCCTGAGCAGAATGGACACTGCCCTGTATTTATCTCATCACCCACACTTCGGGCCATCGAGTGCTGGGTCCCAAGTTGCCTATGAAAAATGGGTTGGCCTCTTCCAGGTAGAGAAAGGGGAGTCAGGAGGAAAATCCACTAAACACCTGTGGACGGTCACTCACAGCAGTGGGCCAAGTTTTGTGGGGTCTTAAGTGTTCATGATTAAGTTTTTCATGAAAGAAAAGAACACCAACTTTCAAATACAAAATCAAGAATGAAAGCCAAGGGACCAGCAGTTAGCATAATGGCTATGTCACTGGACTCCCAGGTAGTTGACTGCAGTTCGAGTCCCGGACCCAGTGGCTTAAACTCATGCTGGACGCGTGTGCATGCATGCCCAAGATCCCAAGAGGAGAATGGAGAAGGGACTGCGGCGTGGCCATCCCCCCGGGGAGTGATTTCTCACTTTCTGTCTCTCTTTGTCTTTTGGGCGAGCGTATGCACCCTATAGCAAAAACCTCTCGGAAAAAAAAGAGAAAAGAATGAAAGCCAATAATTATTTAGAACAATAAAAGAAATCCTACAGAATTACTGGTGGGGGTGGGGGTGCATAGCTGGTCCACTGGGACTGGCTGCACTAGGAGCGTCGGCCCTTAGAGCCGTCCAGACACTCAGCTCTCTGGCTCAGACTGCAGCATCCGCCCGCGCCGGCTCCCAGGCTCTCAGTGGCCATCAGTCTCTCAGGACCGCAAACCCTGTCTGGGTTTCTTGGTCTCTCCTTGTCCCCGCCCCCAGGTCCCCTTGAGCCCAGCTCACTTGCATGGAGTGATGCTATGCTGGATTAAGGGCTCAAGAGACTTCAAAGGGCTTTCTCTACTGATTTGCCTTTGTACCTTTAAAACAATTGAGAGAGGATTTGGTGCCCCAGTCTCATCAATTTAAAACAAACTGCTAATATCATTTCTCTTCCAAAGGGTGTTGACCCAAGCGATGGAATTCCCTATGAGAAGAAGTTCTGTGAAGGTATGAGCCTGGAGGGTGTGTGCTTGTCACAGTAGCACAGCCTTGGTCAGCCTAGGTCATTTTCCGGAGCCAAAATTTAGGGCCTGTTTCTGAGTGCAGATGCAGTTGGATCCGTTCACTCACCCGTCACTCGAGCTGCTGTGCGGCAGGCGTTTCTGCTGGGCTGGAAGCACACCTGCATGTGCACAGCCTGCCTGGCAGCCCGGCGCCCGGGGCCCCACTCACCCCCTGGGGAGCCCTGGCAGCCCGGCACCCGGGGCCCCACTCACCCCCTGGGTGCGGGAGCCCTGGCAGCCCCAGTGCCAGAGGTCCTACTCACCCCCTGGGGAGCCCTGGCAGCCCCAGGGCCCAGAGGTCCCACTCACACCCTGGGGAGACCTGGCAGCCCCCGGGCCCAGAGGTCCCACTCACCCCCTGGGGAGCCCCCAGAGGTCCCATTCACACCCTGGGGAGCCCTGGCAGCCCCAGGACCCAGAGGTCCTACTCACCCCCTGGGGGCCCCGGGCAGCCCCAGGCCCCAGAGGTCCTACTCACCCCCTGGGGAGCCCTGGCAGCCCTGGGGCCCAGAGGTCCCACTCACACCCTGGGGAGACCTGGCAGCCCCGGGGCCCAGAGGTCCCACTCACCCCCTGGGGAGCCCTCACTCTCTGACACGTGAGAAGTGACTATGCATCAGCGTCAGGAAGCTCTGGGCACGGACTACACGCCAGGGTGCCTGCTCTCATAACTGCCCAGTCTGCAGGCTCCAAACCACTTGTGCGCATGAGTAATGTAAATAAATTCTGCCGCGCAGGTTCGCAGCCCAGGGGGATCGTTTTGCTGGGCGACTCGTTTGGGGCTCACTTCCACATCGCTCCCGAGTGGGTCACGGCTGCGCAGATGTCTCTGGTGAGTAACCTGGCAGTCGCCCTCCGGAGTGCTGGTCTTTGTTCCGTTTCCCTTTGCTCTCTCTAAATGTGATGCCAACTCCAAACAGGTGCAAATTTCCCTCGTCAGCAAACCTGCCATAAAAGGCACGTCCACAGTCACTGTGGTTCCAACAGAGGAGCAAAGAGTTCCTCCTCTCACTTTGAGCCCAGCCTGCTGCTGCCAGGACCCCTGCAGGCAGCAGAGGGGAGTCCAGGAGAGTGGGGTGCGCAGAGAGGACGCTGCCCATCGGCTGGCTCCCCGTGTAGTCGGCACCGGGCACTGTGAGGTCTCTCCTGCTGTCTGAGCAAGCCGGAGGGGCTGCATGGAGCAGACCACAGTGCTGTGGCTGTGCCCAGGGGAGGGCGTCAGGGGCCGGCAGCACCTGCCATCTGTCCTGGAGAGCCCTGGGACCCCTGTCCTGGAGTTTTGTTTTGTTTTTCATTAAAAACTTAAGAGGACCATGAGACAGGATGACAATGACAGTCTCAGAAGAAGTGAGGAAAGGGGAAGGTGGGCCCACCAGTGGCACGGGGTCAGGTGCAGGGTGACCGTCCATGGGGCTGACCTCTCTCTGTCTCTCCCCAGTGAGCCCGTGCATCCTCTGGCATTTTAGAAAGGAGGGGTGGAGGGAGAGGAGAAGGGAAAGAAGGGGAAGAAGGGGGGAGGGGAAGGGAGGAGAGGAGAAAGAAGGGAAGGGGAGGCGAGGGGAGGGGAGGGGAGGGGAGGGGAAAGGACCGGAAACCAGCACTTATTGCCTCCGCAGCGGACCGGGCACTGAGGGCACTTGCGCGTCAGGGACCAGCTCACACGTGCGGTGCAGCGTGATGGCAACTACGGCCAGCTCATCACCTGGGCTCCCGTCTGCCCCATTATCAGGGTCGTTATCCTCCTCTTGGATCTGGTGGCTACAGAAATTGTGTGGCTACAGGTGGGAGCTGGGAGGTGCAGAGAGGGCCCTGGAAACCCCACACGCCCAAGCAGGAAGTACAGTGGTGTCAGAAGGACCACTGGCAGCTCGGACTTACCATGGCCTCCAGCTGTCGCAAGAGACTATACCAAAACCTGTCCCCAAGGCCCATGTGGGCTGGCGGGGCTCTGTAAAACAGAAGCATACTTGCCCTTATTTAAAGTGCAGGGAAAAATCTTCTATTAATGGTGCCAAAATATAAACCTTTTTTTCTTTCTTTGGAAGTCTTTCAACTTGTCATGGTGTTTTTTATTTGATATATAATGTCACCCTTAAAGAACTAATTAAAATTTAAAATTATTAGCATGAATTGTACATGTATCTCTATATGAGGCAATGCCAGTCTTACATGCAAATGATGTGGAATTATCAGAATTACACAGTTCTCATTTAGTAACTCCACCCTGGAGGCTGCTTTGAGCAGCCTGAAAGGAGAAAGGGGAGCCAGACTCAGGAAGGCTGGATGGGGTGCAGAACGGCCAGAGAGCACCGCCTTAGCCCGGGCACTCGGAGCCAGTGCAGAGGCTCCCACCTGCCACACCGCAGCCTGAGGGTTGCTGGGACCCCAGGTCCAGCCAGGCATCCGCGTCCCTAGGCCCACCTCCAGCCCACAGCAGTCTGGTGACCCCTGTGGGTCTTCAGACCTCTGCCAGGACACACCACAGCCTTGGACAGGGAGGAACTTGCCTCCCCTGCCCACCAGATGCCCACACTGCCAGGCTGGACAGGGCTCAGCCATATGGCAAGTCCTAACTGACCCTGTACCTGCCCACACGTTCCCACTGGGGCAGAGAGGAACATCAGGACACAGGCCTCCCCACTGACAATGACCCAGTCGCTGTGGCTGGGGGTGTGGCTGGCCGAGCAAGGAGCGGACCAGGGCTGGAGAGTGACCGTGCGAGAGCCTGGGGCCCAGCAGTGAGGAGGGGAAGGAGGCAGCACCCTGGGAGCCCCGTCTCCAGCCCTCCCCCTCATAGCTCTCTGCGGTCCCACTGAACCTCACTCACACAACACAAATGCAAAGGCAAGGTTCTGGAGAAGTCCAGGGCAGAGCAGAGGGCGCTAAGCCAAGGTCAGGGCCCTTCTGAGCCATGTGCGCAGCAGGACAGGGACAGCTTTCACGGCTCAGTTCTAAACGACACTCAGCTCAAATGGATCAAGCAGGCGAGGTGGGGCATTGCCACAGGAGCTGCCCCCTCCAGTAGAGGAGCGATGGCCCCCTGCCCTCAGAAGGGAACCTGGACCCAACTGGGAGGCTCTTTCTCTGTCCTGGGCAGCTCAGGGCCAGCTCCAAGGACGAGCCACTGTAATGAAGGCGGGTCTCTGTCATTTTGGCGACCATGCGAGCGCAGTGCTCTTACACTTGCACACGAGCCTGGCATTGCATTGAACAGTGATAAATGCAACATTTCTGCTAATCATTTAAAATTGCAATGATTTCTTTTAACATACAGCCACCTCTAGGTGTAGATTTCTCTTCCCTCTTGCAAAGAAATGAAACTCTTACCCTGAGAAATTAAACTGAGGAAATTATTGATTTTCTTTGCCTCGCTTCTTTCAAGATTAAAAAAATTCATCATGAACCTAAACACTCTGAGAACTTCTCGCAAGTCCCCAAACTGAGCAAACGTAGGCCTCCCTTTATAAGAATAAGCAAGCAGAGTGCATCCGGATTTACCAGAAATGCTCAGGAGATCAACAGCAGAGGGCTCTTTCAGAAAAGGCTTGTGTAGAGAAGAGGGTGACATTTGGCAAATTATCAAGGTGGGGTTCTCAGCAATAACTGAAGGGAGATTGCACCCACGGGCAAGGGACAGTCCGACAGCAGAGGACACTGCCGGCAGGGGACCGTGAGCTGACGTAGGAGAGTGCAGTGTCCGTATCGATTAGCAAGTCTGCCCAAACAGGAAGAGCGAACGTGCAGCCCGCTGGGAACTCGGGGCGCAGGAAAGGCCACAGTGAGAAAATCTGGGGTGGAGCGCTGAGCAGCACACGGCGTGGGCCCGGAGGTGGAGTAGAAAGCCCAGGAAAGTGGACCACAGCAGGCAGGGAAGTTGTGAACAAATGAAGAATCACATTCCTGAGTTGAGGAAATCCTTGTCTCCAGTCCCAGACCCCCAGATTCTTGATCCCAAACCCCCAGTGAGTCCTTTCCCCTCATCATCTCCTATGTTTTCTTTTTATTCCAAGGAGAAAGAAACCTTGTAATCATACTCCCCAACAAACAGACAGGCAGGGCACAGACCAGGAGGGAAAGTCGGTCTGTTGCTGAACTTACTCTCAGCGCTGGGTTGCAGAAAACAGTGGACCGGTGTGTAGAGTTTCAGGAGAGACCACGTGTCAGAAACAATCTAACTAGGTCGGGCCGTGGCACGGTGGTGGTGCAACTGGGCCTGCATGGGGAGGTTCCGTATTCATGTCCTGGGGCCTCCACGAGCATGCGGGCACACACATGTGCACGTGACCCAGGCCGCTGGGATGAGGGCTGGACTGCAGTGGGAAGGCCCTGTTGGGGTGCCTGTCTCCTCCTCCCTTTCTCTCTCTGTGCTCTGGGGCCAGCCCCATAGCCAAGGGGTTAAGGGAGTCAGATCCCGCATGGCTGGCAGTAATTCGAAGCCCAGCCACGGCAGCCTGAAAAACGCACTGGGCCTGTGTGTGTGTCCCTGGAGCCCCGACGGGGTGGAGAAATGGAGAAAGGGCCGCAGTGTGGCCTTGGCCCTGGAGGGTGCTTTCCCCCCTCCTTCTCTGTCTCTCTCCTCTGTCTCTCTCCTTCTCTGCCTCTCTCTAGTGAGTGCACGTGCCCTCTGGCAAAGGAAATAAGTAACTGCTGAGGGCCAAGCTATTGCTCTCCCATGAGGACGGCACAAACTTGTTCGTGGCCATTCCGACCCGGAGAGCAGACCGGACAGACTTCACTGAAAACCCGTGTGCACGCACACGCACACGCACACGCACGCACTTTAGGAAGTACTACAGTCTCTCTCAGCACGACGTGATAGGAGGAGCCAGAGAAAATACTAGATTTCATTACATAATAAGTCCCAAGTGTATGCAATGTTTAAAAGTCCATCAAATTAAAGATGAAAGAAAACCCAGAATATTCATAAAATAGAGGGCAAAATTTAAATCTTCTAGTCAACAGAAAGTTCTACTATCAATAAGAAAAAAGTTTAATTTTCTTTAATAGTCTAGTCTCATTTTCAGCACTGTTAAAAGAAAGAAACAAAAAACAATGTGATTCATTTATCATCTGTCAAATAGACAAAAGTTTGAAAAGTGATAAAGGCCCAGTCTTGGCAAGAACATGGTGAATCAGGCATGCTAATCCATCCTCAGCGAGGTTTTAAGTTGCTAAAACTTCTCTGAGAGGCAATTTGGCAATATGTACAATGCAACAATAAAATGTTTATTTTAACCAGCAATTCTACCTGTGGAAATGTACTTTTAAAAATCAGTCAGGGGCGGGAACCAGCAGTTACGTAATGGCTATGTCGCTGGACTCCCACGTAGTTGACCGCGGTTCGCATCCCGGACCCGGTGGCTTAAAACTCACGCCGGGCATGTGTGCGTGCATGCCCAAGATCCCGAGAGGAGAGTAGAGGAGAAGGGATTGCGGCATGACCATCCCCCCTGGGGGGTGATTTCTCGCTTTCTGTCTCTGTGTCTCTGTCTGGCAAGCGCATGTGCCCTATTGCAAAAACTTCTCCAAAAAAAAATCAGTCAGGGGCCGGCAGGTGGTGTGGAGACTAAGGTGCTGGATCCCACATGGTGGCCTCCAAGCTCCAAACGCTGGACCTGGTGGCTTAAAATCATGCCAGGTACACGTGCGTGCGTGCCCAAGATCCCAAGAGGAGACCAGAGGAGAAGGGGTTGCAGTGTGGCCATCCCCTGGGGGTGACTTCTCACGTTTCCTCTCTGTTTCTGTCTCTGGTGAGTACATGGGAGGTGGGGAGCCCCGGAGGGCCTGAAGCAGGACCAGGAGTCTCTGCCTGCCCACCAGGAGACAGGTGGG